AGTAATAATAACAATTCCTTTTCTCCTCCCCTCTCCTCTTTTTCCTTACCCTCCTCTCCAGACATACTTTACAGCAGACACAAATAAGCTGTGAAGGGGGCTTGAAATGTGTCGATTGGCTGTTAATATCTTCCAGTGGTTTTAATTACAGTATCTTCCACACCCTGTATTTTGTCACATTTCTTTCCCTACTGAAGTAACGTGACATGAATTTCAGTACGATTACAATAGTCACGTGTAAGTTCCCTCAATATCATTCTTAAACTCTAACATGTTGAGTTTCTGTGCCAGCAGTGCTTACCTTTAAGCAACCAAATCTCCAAAGCATAATCCTACTTCTGAAGTCTTTCAAAAGAACAAAAGCCATGTGAGGTAAAGGCACTGTTAAAAACAGTTGACTAACCTTAACTGCTGTGCTGTTCCTAAATTTCCTTGCCTAATTCATTTAAAAATGTATAAAATAGCAGGAAATCTGGAACCTGTGAGAACGTGTCTTTTGTCCAGGGTCAAAAATCATCCTGCATGTTTGGCTTCTGTCTATAAAAGACAGGACTATCACATGTCTGTGTTTTCTTTTAATTTTCATCTGGATAAGTTCTTCTTTCCTGCCCTCAAAGTTATGCGTGGGCAGATTTTTTTTGGCTGGTTCAGCCTGCATCCAGGTTGTTTTCAACCTCATCAGGGGCCAGATCCTGGCCTTTCTCCCTGAGCAAAGAGCCAAGCGAAGGGCTGGGCTCAGCTGCTGTGGTGCTCACATCAGAGCATTGCATGCGGTTGGTCAGAGTGGGAAGGGGTGATGACAGGGTTTGTAAAAACCCAGCAAGGACCTACAGGGCTGTAAGGCAGTGGGCAGGGGGGCAGTGAAGCTGGAGAGAAGCTGACAGAGGTGGGTCAAGCTTAGGAGAAGCTCTGGGGGAGGGAGAAGGTGCAGAGGGTTGCGGTCAGAGGGTTGGGATCTCAGGGAAGACAGGGACCCAGGGCTGTGTGCAAGGGAGGGAGACAGAGGTGGGGTGAGAGTTTGTGCTGAATGACTGCTAGCCAGGGCAAGAGGAAGGGGAGGGCACTGCCAGGGAGAGGGACAAGAGGTTTTAGAGGGAGGGATTGGCAGGCATGGGAAAGCAGGCTGGAAGCATGGGGCACAAAGGGGTCTCTGTAAACAAGGCACTGATATGAGCACATCTAACCAAAACCTGCAGTGGAAAGTATGCACAGAGACAGCTCTCACATATCACTCTCCTCATCTCAGCTGCACCAGCTCTCTTGCTTTAATGGAGTAATATTTGCCTTTTAGAGGCAAACAAAAATGATGAAAGGGCAAGGTCCATTTAGTTTCTCTACAGTAGTTTGATATCAGTTTGATAACCTAGCTTGCAGCGTATGCAGACTGCCTCTGAAGTCGTCTTGCCAGCTAAAGGTCTCCAGTCATGTGTCCATATGTATGAAAATGGGCCTTCTGACCTAAAACCTTACTGATGCTTGCAGGCACATGGAGCTAATTCAGATTTCCATTTCTATGAGATAATCCCCTGACACCATGACTAAGCTTTGTAATTCATTCATCAAGATGTCCCAGCTCCCTCTTGTTTTATGACGTCTTCTTGCTGGAGCTTTTGGGCTCTGGCGTTTTGTGTTTTTTTTTTTTTTTTTTTTTTGTTTTTTGTTTTTTGTTTTTTTTTTTTTTTAATTAATTAATTTATTTTATTTTAGATTTGATAATCCTATTTAACCCTCCTGCAAATGGGACCCCAAGGAGCGCTTTTCAGTTACACACAATTAGTTTTATAAGTAGTATTATTAAACCATCCATTAGCTATTTTGTGTTACTTTTTTGTGTGTGTTTTTGTTTTGTTTTGTTTTTTAAACTCCTTTATTAATAACAATAAAGGCTTTTGTAAGAAGAATAGTAGGTGGCATTATATGAAATGGTTTCAGATTCTAATAATAACATTTCTTTTTTGTGAGTAGAATTATGACATGAGCTTTCTTGTGTAAGATTTCCTTTACAATATGTCACTCCTTCCCACCCCCCCTGCATCCTTTGTTCCTTTCATGTTTTCCACACTGATGGATGACATAGGGTTGTGCTGGATCCTGAGAGATAATAAAGTCCATGGAAAAAGTCTGACTGGGGTGCCATTTCCTTACCTAGACTTCAGCATCCAGGCCAGAGGATGACAACTCATCCCAACCAGCAGCTCTTGGCACTTGAAACCATGGACCAGGTAAGAGGCCATGGTCATTGCAGAGTAAATTCACAAGCTATCTCATGGGTGGGGGCACAAGAGCCTGCTGGGATGTGAGGATTCTAATGAGAGCACCAGGAGGGTCAGCTTGGGAACAGGTGCCTGTCTGGTCCAGCCCTGCAACCTCCAGGGCAGTGTGAGAAACCAAGCAGGTGTGGGATATGTTTGTCCCTGCTGCATTCCTAGTATCTGTACTCAGCTGGTGGCTGCACACAGGCCATCAAATTTTTTGATAAATCTGACTAACTGTCTTTTGCAGCCATTTATGCTATTGACTTCAAAAACATCCCATAACAACTCATTCCACAGTTCCTCACCTTGTGAAAAGCTACTTCAACTTATTTCTAAATCCATTGCCATTGTTGTTACAAGACATACTGAATAGTCATTGCTTATTCACTTCCTCCCTGTCAGTCCTGATTTTCCTTATTCTCAGCGTATTGCATTTGCCAAGGCTGCATTTTAGATCTTGTTCTGAATTTACCACAAATGTAATGTTTAAAATGCTGGAATTTGGAATGGAGCTGAATGCAATTGTCTTTGCCTAGTCTCTTGGGACTATTGTACTTCCAACCTTATTCCTCGCAGGCCAGTTCATTTACATTTTAAAACCTGAGATTTAGACTGAATATGTAAATACACCTTCCAGTTGGAATAGTAATTCCTGCTACTTAGTTTTAAATTAAAATCCAGATCATTAATTTAGGATTGAAGGTATAGGCTGTATTCCTGGACAACTTGTTCTGAAAGGGTATCAAGTAGCAATTCGAGTTGAGAAAACTGAAATACAAATATAATTAAAAACAATCAACAGTATTATTACTTTCTCCCAAAGGTTCAGAAGCTCCTGCTAGTATTGACTGACCTTTCCAAACAAAGGTTCACCTTTCCAAACATGCCTACATGATTCTGCCACAAAAAGGAGAAGGGGCATATCCCTGTGAGAAGGCCTGGCCACCCCAGCAAGCTCCGCAGACAGCCCTGTTCTCAGCAGTGGGTTCATTCTGCTGCCTCAGGAGGCGATAAAAGCAAGTTATTTTTGCTTATAAACAGGCTAAAAGGAGTGTCTATCCATGTTTTTAAAACAGAATTTTTAAATTAAGGAAAACGTGCATATAGGTATTACTCAATTCCCTGGTATTAATCCAACTGTGATTTTTTACTCTGTGGAAATCTTCCTCTTTTTTTTGACTTACAAAAGCAAAATAAAACCCATGCAAGATTTCAGTGGACAATATAATTTCCCCTTGTTTATTTTTTAAAAATATATACTGTTATTAAAAAAAAAATAGATAACATATATACATTGGCAACACATACAAAAAAGCACTTTCTGTATTAAGAACAATCACAAGGTTATTTTAAAGACTACATCCCAATCCATACTGTCTTTAGACATTTACTGACAGCAGGAGAACCATCAGGAACAAGAGTCAGCACCCACTTTAGGCTAACATTTTCTTTACAGACCTACAATTGTTCTAAAATTTCTGTGACAACTTTAACAGACAGGATGCTCTCTCCTGTTACTGTGCAGAATACCTTTTGATATATATTTATACTTAAGAATAGCCTTTATTGTTTAGATTGATCTGCATTTGTTGGCTTGATTGCTTACCAAATCCAGAAGTACTTTAGGAATAAAGCTTTAGAGCCAGCTCAACACATACAAAAAAAAAAAAAAAAAAAAAAAAAAAAAAAAAGTTGCTGATTTGGAGCGGCATAGTGTTTGCTTTTCACACAGCTTAGGTTAACAGGAAGAATTTGTGAAAAATCAGTCATTTTCACAAAAAGTGACTTAAAAATGATACTTGCCCACGGCCCTTTGCATTTCTCTGCCCTTGGCAGGAAAAGGGTGGCCCTTTTTCTTCCCTGGAGAAGTCAATAAAGAATTCCACTACCCATCCCTCAACCCAGAGACTGTCTTGAGGAGTAGCCCTTTGATTGTATTTTAAAAGAAACTTTCTTTGCTCTCCGTAAACCTCTGCTTTCCAAAAGAAAATCAAGTGAAACCTATGGAACTGAGTCCTTCCATAAACCCAGATGAAAGACTAGAACTACTTTGGGGGAATAATTTGCTTTTTCTCTCCCTTCTTTACAGCTGTTAACTTAGACATATGCCACCACACCATGCTATGGAATGGCACAGAGCTGAGTTGCCTCTGCACTACAATAACAGGAGTGTCTTCCAGTTTCACTGAAAAAAACATCGTCTCTAGTGCAAGTAGCAGTTAGATTTACAGCTACCCACTGTGGAGCATGTCTGCCCCATCCAAGGACAGAGAGAGCTGCAGGAATCATTTTTCCAGTTTTTATGGTTAGGTGAAATCATAAAATTATTGGGTGCTCACACATTTTTTCACTTGTTTGTTTAAGAAAAGCACTTATACAGATATTAGGATAGTGAGTGGAAGGGTCTTGTAAGCCTACACACATAAGGGAAAATTGAATGGAAACTGAAAGCAGAGGGTCATTTAAGGTGGAGACCAGGGTATTTTTCCTTGTCTCCTCTCAAAGAGTTGTTAATCTCACCCTGCTTTGCAGAAACCCAAGAAGGTATGTGTGCAGGCTCATGGGAAAGCTGTTCTCTCTTGACAGGGTGGGAGGAAAGGAGAAAAGGTCAAGAACAGAGTGTGTTTACCAAAGCCATGTGCTCCTCGCTGTGTGCTGCTGCTGAGTGCAGCTGCTTCCACTCTCAGCTGGCATTTTGTGGTTTTGAATACTAGAGCACTAAATAAAATATGGGGTTTTAATACCTTTTTTTTTTTTTTTTTTTTTTTAATGTATCCAGTGTGGGCTGCTAAAGTAAACAGAATATTGCACGAGTGCACATTTCATTCATATGAGCAGAAACTTAAAGCAGAAATGGGGAGAGCAATTAGCAACAAAATCCTACAGTACAGACCCTGGAGTACAGCACGACTATGGACAGATATAAATTCCCTTTTAAAGAAATATACTTGCAAGACCAGTTGCATAATGCTGCAAGCTAAGGAGAACACTGACTCACTAAGTCAATATTTGCTAAATCTACCAGGCCAAATTCAACTCTTGTTCTGAGCAAAAACAATTTTGCTGTTGTTTCACAGCAATGAAAGAAGCAAGCCTAAAGACTAAATCTGGGAAATCTACAAAAAAAAAAAAAAATAATGTCCCTGGGTTGTAAATGTTATTTTAAAGAATTCATATATATATATATTAATTATTATTTTTTTTAATATATAGCTTTAATATTTCAATTTAGCATTTTACCTTTAAAGAAGACTACTTTAAAGGGAGCCAGTATGCACCTTTTCCTCACTCAGCAACATGACAGAGGAAGCCAACAGATACTTTCTCCCCTTTGGGGAGCTTCATTACTGCAAGCAAGAGAGAACAGCTGGTGTCTGCACAGGAGCACAAGATAACAAGAGAATGTTGTTTTATATTTACTTTGCAGCACTTTTTAAAACTACAAAGGACATAGTATAAAATAGGTGCTAGCACCTGAAACAACAAAAATCTCTGATAATCTTCATCTTTGTTCTCCAGGTTTCATTGATCAGCAGAAAATTATGTTCTGTAGGCTGAATTCCTCACGCGGTTGCAAATCAGGAGCAAGTCCACTGAAGCCAAATGACTTCCATGCATGCTAATTCAGTCATGCCCTGACACTTAAGGGTCTTGGTGAGTGAGCTCTTCTGTTACTGGGGAAAGTGCTCTTTTGCTCATGGCTCCTCCTGAGCCATGCGTACTTTGGGAAAACTTAGTGAAAGTAGAAAGGAAAGCAGGTTGGAGGAAAGAGGAGGGGTAATTTTTTTTTTACATGTAATATTTGTTTTTAGAGTCTACTAAAACTTCCTTCTTAGTAGATGCCATCTAAGAGCAGAAGCACAGGTTCTGGACTGTAATGCTACTAGTTTGTGGTACTCCAGAAAGAATTTGGCTTTGTCTTGTCAACTGTAAGTGACAACAGAACACAATTTTTCTTTTCAACTGCTTCTCATGAGTATGTGCTGATTCTTCTGAATATATGTTGATCAAAGATAGTCAAAAGGAATTTAGTTTTTTTTGGAGCTACCACTTAACTAAATATCTATTTAAAAGCTTATCTTAAAAAAAAGTAAAAATAAAATGTCTGGTTAGCCTGTAGTGATTATTCAACCTGTATTTTCTACTTTGATAAAAAAAATAAAAAAAAAAAAACACTAGTAATTACAAGATTTTTATTGTTTGTATCCAAGCAGGGTTCTTTTTAGAGCATATGACTAATGAGAATTAATTGCTGCATTAAAAAAAAAAAAAAAAAAAAAAAGTAATCTAAAGGCACCCCAGTTAACTATTATTTTTTTTTTTAGAAATTTCTAAATTTCTAAAAAATTTTTCTAAAAAAGATTTTTTTTTAGAAAAAAAAATAATAGAAAATATAGAAAAGAATGATAAATCAGAAGATGGTATTAACTGTCTACAACCTTTCTGTACGTACCAAGCCAGTACTTCATATTAAATAACTTGAATTCCTGTTTTGGGACAAGACGGATTTTGCCCCAGTTGAGGACAAAGCATCCTAAAGTTCTTTCAAGGCTACCCTGAAGCCACTGGTCTTATAGATGAGGGCTTTGGACATCAATTAAAACGTATTAAATATTCAAATTTTAATGTCCCTGAAAATAATGTTTCTAGGTGCCTAGGTTTCTAGGCCCCATCAGCTACACTTATCTGTGCATGGTTCTGTTTCTACAACTGATCTCCACTTATAAATCGGTGCAATCAGAAGTAGTTCCTTGTAGAAAGTGGCCTGTGGAATTCCAGCCATTTTTATTGACTTCACCAGTTTATTCCCCCACTCTTCTCCTATTTCCTTTATAGTTTTTAGCAAGCTCTGTTAATCTCAGGTAGCTGTAGTTGAGAACGGGCCTATACTCAACATCACCGCAGGTAAAACAGACTTCATTTTGCCCTGTTCTGGAACCATCGATGAAACACAAATAACCGTACAGTTTCCAGGAGAATTTCCAAAACCATACTTGGTAGTCTACTCTTCTTCCTCAATTTTGGAGAAAGCACTTGCCCTTAATACTTCCATGCAATTCACAAGAATCAATGTTCCGGTTAACTCTCGCCACTGTTTTGTTACTGGGTTTTTCATTTTATCCAAGGCTGACTGCAGGTCTTGTAAGACATCCCTGTAACTGTCTCCATAATGGGCAGCCCATGTGTAGAGAAAGTCATATGCAGGTTTCCACATCATCTGCAAATAAAGGAAGAAATGATAAGGTTTATTAGCAGAAATCTAATTATTTAGCTAAATCTCTCCAATAGTGGAAAAGTAAGAGAGAAAAGAAAAAAAAATTATTTGATCCCTAGCTACACTGAAATGCTTTGTCACATAAGGCATATTCATTTAAAAACAAACAAAAACAAAAGCACTCTGGTAACCTTATGTACTTCATTTAAATGAAAGTCTTTAATTCTCAGAGAGGTAAATAAGGGAAGGAAAAAATCTTCATTCAGATGATTATCACCAAGTCAGAATATATCTGTGTCTGAAAGTAAAACTCAAAGCATAGGGGTAGAAGGAAAACACTTGATCATTTTTGCAATTCACACACCCAGCAGCAGTTTTCCTATTTGGAGTTTCACTTTGCTTTTGGTAGTTAAAGACCCACTTTGTCTCATTAAGATCCCACTGTCCCCCTGCTGTATAACTTAGTCAGGACCTTTCAAACATACTTCTTTTCTTTACAAAAATATTTTCTGATAACATCAGCAAAAGGATCCATCTATTAAAACAAAACAAAACAGATACAAACAAAAACATTCCAGGAACAGTGGAATGAGAAGTTTTTATAATAATCTTCTTAAAATTACATTCAATTTAAAGTGTTCTGGTACAAATGAAGGAAATAAAAAACAGGTTACCACTGTTCCTTTTTGCAAATTATAATATGTTTAATTATTTTATGCCAAACAAATATGGAGCATATCCTTCCCATATGTAATTTGTCATTTGCCAAGTTATATTAATGAAGCTATGACTGCATGATTCAGATACCAAGCTAGACTTACATCCTTCAAATTGCTGATGTGGAGAGTAAGTTTCTTCTGTTTACAAACAGAAAGATTGTTTTTCCAGCTGCTGCTTTTGCAAATTTAACTTGGGTGACTAGTTCCCTACTCCTCATTGGCAGTAGAGGTTTAGCAAACAGCAATTGTGTTAACAATTGCATGGATGATGCATAAAGGTGAAGAAATCTTTCACTTTCCTACCTAAATGGTACTATCATATACTGCTTTAAAAGAAATACACTCATGCATAAAAACACATGAACAGATATGCACACATGTATGTATGCACACAGATGTGATCAGAAAGCCTCTTAATTCTACAAGATTTAACTTATATATATATATATATATATATAATGAAAATATATATATAATGAAAAAGCTGTTTTAATGGTTCAGAATAAAAATGGTTATTTTTGAGTTTAATTCTGTGAATTTAGAAGTGAAAAAAACATAAAGCTCTTCTTCCTTGATTTGAGCTCTATTTGTTTGATCTCTAGAAGATTTAAGTAGCTGGAGAAAATTTCTTTGACCATGATGCTGATCTTTTCTCCACATTTGGGCTAAGAACTTATTGCAAGATTCATTCTACTGTAGTTTTTGTCAACATCTCCCTCATTTTCTGCTGCCTTTCTCCCGCATCCTCAAATGGAAAAACTCATACAACTCATCTCCTCCATAGCATATCTCAAATCTGATTAGTCTGGTATCTGCCTTTAGTTTAAACCATATGAAAGTGCCCATGCTTTGAATTAAATCTGCCATTTTAGCTCTAGAGGGGAGAAGGATATCACTATTTATCCCAAATGAACCATGCTTACTGCAGACTTTAAGCAAGTCAGTCTTAATTCATAACCATAAGGTTACAAAAGGATGGAAGAAAAGGTCACTTAGTGTCTTGTGAGAAGAAATGGAAAAAGATTAATCCTTTCATCAGATGTTACTTTGAGAAGAAGAAGAAGAAAAGTTTGTAATGTACTACTGTAAATACTTGATATTACAACTTATTTTAGTGAAATAAAGCATTTCACCATGTTTGCATTTATGCCTGAGATCAGAAAGTTTCTTTATTCCTATTTCTAGCTTGATAAACAAGGTATCCAACAAGAGAAGCTAGGATTTCCTGATACATTACTGCTGGCTGTGCTTTTCTCTGCCTCCTGCTTCCTTTCCTTATATTCCTGTTGAACCAGGCTATTTGAAGGATTATGGTATAACCTTCTGTTTGATCATCTTCACTAGTATGTGAAAAAACAGGGAATATTAAAAGATGCTATTCTTTGACTTACACTGAAGGTCAGACTGACACTAAGACAAGCAACTGAAATCTTTAAAATAAAAACCTTGTTTTCTTCATCTCTAGCACTTTTTTTTTTCCCCCCTCCCTAAAACAACAAATAGATAACTAAAAGCTTTATGAGTTGGTCATCAGTGATGATGACCATTTAAGGCAGCAGTAATCTACATTCTCATCATACATAACTAATACTGAAGATCTGAGGTAGGTCCTTCTCGACATCTGCATACTCTAAATGTAATGGCTGAAGTGTATTGTGTTTGACATCCCTGAATTTTGTCAAAGGAGATTTTTAGGCAAACTATTAAATCACTGCAGTATGCTGGGCAAGTCATTGCTTCAGCTACATGCCTGCACTTTCCCTCTTCTCCCTCTACCTCTGCTGAGTAGGTAATAATGATACGTACATCCTCAGTAAAGTGATTTGGAATTTACTGATGAAAAGCACTTCAAAAGCTAGGCACCAAGTGTATGCACCTCAAGTTGCCTCTGCAATCATCAGAGAAAAGATTTCTCCCACCAAGTAAAATATTCAGAAAAACATTTTTTGACCAATCAATCCTTTTGATGGTAGAATAGTCCTTGATGAGTAAATAATTGGTTCATGTTTTCAGACAATAGTCAATCATTAGTCAAAACTTATTACTCTTTCATCTTTGCTTAGTTTCCCACTCAGTGCACCGACTACTATCAACAAGAAATATTTCCATTAGAAAATTCCAGGCTAGGATAAGGTGATTTTAATCGGGTTTGTTTTATAGCTGCTATGCAAATGCAGTGATCGCCAATCAGTCTGAAACAAGTAGTCAGACTAATGTTAGTCTTCTAACAACACTGGGGGCTTGCCCACACAGGTATGAATTTACACTGCATTTTACTTCCCACATAGGCACTCCTGCTGAACAATATACATGTAATTTTATAAGCAGAGGATTGTTTTCTGTGTACAGAGGTTCAATTCAAAGGTCAGTAGAAAGCACTGAAATTAAAGCTTAGATTCACAGGACAGTGAGGATGCTGATTTTTCGTGTGAGATACTAGTGCTAGAAACCTGGTATGCTTTAAACTCACACCTGTGCAGACAGACATAGCTAATAATGAGGTGGTTTTTGTTTATTTGTTTTCACAAAAGAGTAGCAGACTAGGGTATGCTGGAACTGAGAGTTTTATTAGGAAAAAAAAGAGTAAGGTGCATCCATGCACAAGTAATGTACCCATAACAACTGGAGAAACAAACAAGCAAGCAAGAAAACAAGCAAAAACAACAAGAGCATATGAAATAGCTCAAAGAGGAAAGTAAGATCATACGAGTAGGAAGTGTTTGCAAACAGTAATGATTGGTTTGCAGGAAATGCGGAATGTTATATAGGCATGCTTGGAGTTATGGTCAAACATTGGACTGGAGGTGGGGAGAGGCATTTAAAGGGAGTAAGAGGTTCATGATCAGAGCAGAAATCTCTTGATAGCAATCATAAGGCAGACAGAATTGAGATGAAAGACTCGGTGGATTCATACTGCAGAAAGGAAAATTCCCAGTCAGAGAACAGGGAGAATCAGCTACAGGGAAAGAAAATGGAAATAAAAAATTAATCCCAAGTTGTCGTGCAGGTATGAATGGGAAATTGAAGCCATTCATTAGGTACTGAGATTTTAGAGAAAAGGATTTCAGGCTCGATATTGTGCATTATTTGCAATAATGAGGGAATAGATAGTAGAGGCAAAGGGAGAGTCAATGCAAAAGCTAAACAGAAAGGTCCATTTGTGAGTGTCATTCAGTAACACTCAAAAAGAGGATGCTCAGGATAAAACCTAGTCTGAGGCCTAGTAGTCATTGGCACACAACTCTGTGGATCCCACAGTTCTGGATCAGTTCCAACAGTGGATCCCATTGCTTTGGTGTTAAAGTAGAGAAATATAGGAAGCAAGTTGGATGCCCAGGCAAAGATGTGTCAGGAGCACAGGCTGGCCCTTAACTGAGAAGCATAAGTGTAAGCCCAGCCTAAGTCTTGTGACATCTCTGTCACATTGCATGGATGCCATGGGTACCTCTGAGCACCTTCAGATAGCACTAGAGATATATTTATGTACCTGAATTTCTTCTTAAATGTGTACACACTAAAATACATCTGAGAGGACAACTTTTTATTCAGAAGTCATACTTCTGTTTAACCAGAATGCTTTACAAAGGAGGGTAACTAGCATGAACTGCATGGCAATTAAAAGAGGGTTTGTCAGGTTCATATAATAGGGCAGAGGTGGAAGTGGTGTCAGAGTTTGTCTTGCCTGAGTTAAAAGGTGACAAATCTGACACAAACACAGAATGGAAAAACGTTTCTTCCTACACATAGCAAGGAAGAAGAAAGGTCATTGCCTACATTTGAGGAGCAAGCACATACACTGCTTTACACCAGAGCCTTACCTCCAGAGCTACTGCTCCACTTTTTCCTTGGTGGGGTACCTCATAAGCCTCTATTTGCTGCTTTGTGAGTCGGGCTAGTTTCTCTGCGAGCTCCCGCCAGTATTTGCCAAGCTTCACAGCTGAAGTCAAAATGATGGTGTCCTGGGTAAGACGTGCCACTAATCCCTGGCAATCTATTTTCAAAAGTGCCTGCAACAATCATTTTCATTAGTGTTCCTTCACCAAGGAATTTCCTACAAACATCATTATAATTTGTTTCCACTACTCTGCAATTTTAAGCAGACAGAATAGCTTCCCCTCCTCAGGTTTTACTTTCCCCAAAAGGTATTGTCAATAATTTCATAGGAAAACTGCCCATAAGCCTAAGAAAAAAAAATAGACTGGCATTCATCTGCTTCAGCATTCCAGTGTTGCATGGGTGCTGCCAAGCTCAAGGATCCTAAAGGAAAAATATTTTTCTTCAGCAAAAATATCCGGGACATCAAACTGAGCTTCTTAAAGAATGACATGGAACTTAAAAATGAAATTAGAGCACTCTTATATGAAGGTATGATCCTTAGTTTACTTTTTCAGAAAATCATTGATTACAATGGCCAGTACCCTCTGATTTACTCTCCCCACATAAGCAATAATTTGCTGACCATTTCACAGAAACACAAGCATTAAAATTTTCATTCCTGTATGCTAAATGATCTTCTAAGAACAAACAAATTAAAGTGTTTCCAGCAGTGAAGCCCTGAAATGAAGATTTATTGCATTGTCCTTTATTATTTGCTTACACAAGAGCTAATAAGAAAATAGGTAAATAGGTGGTATTTTTTTTTCATTTTCTTTTCCTCAAATTAAGAACAGTATGTTCCACTGTAAATATTGACTTTTCAGTGCAAGACCAAACCCAGAAAAACTCCTTAGTTTCCAGATTTTCAAGAAAATATCAAGCATTTCTCTACAAAATAGACATCTGTAACATTTAGTCTAAATAAATAAATAAATAAATAAAAATCCTCATTGCAAACAGTAGAATTTTTGGTATGCAAGATGTCTAATATAACTTAATTAATTAGAAAATACTGAATATGGATCCGAAACTTTCATGCTACTGCCTGTCTAGAATACAGAAGTAGCTAGCAAGAAGCAGACTAGTAGTGTACAGTACCAAATCACTTTACACTTCAGCAAAGTGTACACCAAGCTGTTCAGTTTGTCTTTGATCTGATGAGAACCAAGAACCTTATTAGACGTGAAAACAGGAAATTAATTAAAATAACTAACCAGTAAATTCTATCAACAAGTAACATAAAAGATAAGTCTAGCTTTAGAAAAACAGGGAATTGTTTTTGTATTTCATAGCTCATAATCATATACATCTGAAAAAAAAAAATAATAAAATCTTGTTAATCTAATTGAACTCCACTTTTTGCTTGTTCTGGTGTGGCCCCTTCATATCATCATATTCAATCAAAAGTTTGGGTCATTTTCATTTTTAGCTGCTCCCGCCCTTTGGAGACAGCAAGCTAAACTGTACTTTGTACTTTTTCAGTTTTATTTCATTTAGTGCAGAGTTAGGAATTGTGTAAGCCACCACTGCTGCCAAAATTTTCTGAATCTTTTTGCTGAAATTGCTGTCAACACTTCAAAGAGAACAAACTAGTTATGAGAAGCACACCCTGTTGAGGTTTGCAATTCACAGGGACAGTCAAAAGGTTTCAGATGAAAGGCTGAATTCACGTATTTTTAAAACATGAATTTTTAAACACACATTTTTTGTTTACACACACTTCATCTTTGAATGAAAAACTTAATTTTCTTTTGTCCCTAAATATACTAGAACACTTTCAGGCAGAGCCAAGGACAGAATTGAGTAATCCTGAATTCCAAATTAGTGTGCACGCAACTCCATGAGTAAATTTTCAATATTTAAATTATTATTTATTTTATTATTATATATGTTAATTATTTGAAGGCAAAATAATATGCTTTAAAAGGCAACCAATTACCTGAAAGCACATAGGAGTAAATCACATAATTTACATGTAGCAGTAATGCATCATGTAGAAGTTGTTCTTTGGCTTGTAACTGAGGCCCATGAAAATATGTGTTAAAATACTTTTATTACTGTCCTTAGGTACCTACAACATTAACTATGAAGTTGTCTTGTATAGAAAGAAAATGTTGTCTTCAACAGGTGGGTCATGATTTGCCTGCCTTAAAAACATAACGCAATCTTAGACATGCATATTACAGCATGCATACTAATAATAGAGTTCCCAAACTACATGGTTGCTAATTGCTTCCAATTGGGATTGGAAGCAACTCAGGGAAACAGTTTACCATGATCTTGACTTCCATGACGAAAGACAACTATTTCAATTACATGTATATATATGTGTGTGTGTGTGTGTGTGTGTGTGTGTATAAGGCCAGGATTGAAATATACACACAAACACACACACATATTTATATATGTATATATGTATGTATAAATATGTATATAAGTAATCACACATGAACCTCCTGGAACTCTTACAAGATGCTATTTAGAATGAATTGGTCATAGTATTATTTTTCATGAGAATCTAGATGTACTTTCCACCTATAGGTATCTGCAAGTTTTAGTAATATGTTAGGGTTTATAAAGAATCCTGTAAAGGTACAGAACAGCATTTTGTTGTTCATACATTGAGTAGCCTGTTGGCAATATATTCCCAATAACCAAGTTAGTTCATGCAATACTTACAATAATGAGCTCATAAAGGAATAGTCTCTTTTTTTTGTTAGCATGGCAGTCTTCCTTTAGCCTCTTCACAACATGTGCAACTCTGTCCGATTCTTTATTGCCATGTGCCTCATTAAAGTCATCCAAAGACATATGTGAATATCCTAGCACGTCAGACAAAGCTCTCCAGTCATAAACACTCTCTGACACTGTAGATAAAACTACTGAGTAGATATAAGTCAGTTTTTTAAATGGCAATACGATTTGTTCAACAAGACTCCTGGTTGTTAGCTCACTGTCAGTAGTGTCCATAGCTTGCTCTTTAGAAATCACTTTTATATTTTTGCAATGTACCAGACCAACCTTTTTTCTGAGAACTCCTACATACCACTCCTTTATTTTAGTTTGTCCGATGGCTTTTACTTTATCTTCACCAAGAAGTGCTATTGTATCCCCTTTAAAATATTCTAACAAATAGTCAATCTTATTTTGACGTAACACAGTTTTCAAAGCCACTCCATAAGTATTAACATTTAAAATTTTGTCTTGAAACTTTGGGTATTTAACTGTTGGTATTAAAAATAAAGGTGCAGACTTGATTTCTTTGCGTTTTTGTAAATGTTTTGGCCTAGTGATAATTCCACTTAATTTTGGAGCTGGATCAGGGGTTGTAACATGGAACTGCATTACTTGGCTACTTCTTAAGACTTTAATCTGAACACGAAAAACAAAGAAATGCATCTCCCTGCATCCTAGCATGGAAAACAGGAATTGGTGTCGGACCATTTCACCAGTTTTCAGTTCCTCCTCTTTAATATTTTTGCTTTGGTCTTCCATCTTTACCTCAAAATCTGGATCACAGGATACCAAAGAAATGTTTAGATCCTGGGGCTTTTCCAGCAGAAATGTATGTTTTCCCCACAGCTGAAACACAACAGGAGGCATATTTTTCCCCCCCTTTTTTATATCACAAATTGTAAGTTTCCCTGGAATGTAGTTATGACCAAACACTGCAAAAACTGCTGTAAAAGATGGATGAATATATTTGGGACCATAAATTCCAACTGAGACAGTTCTATGCACATAATCCCAGACATTAGTGGCTGGAGGCTGGAGCTTGTTTGCCTGGACTGCAATCACTGCGTACATCACATGACTTAGGTCCGTTAGTTTCACTTGTACGGTATCTTGATAAGTGTAGCAATTCCCCAGTTTCTTAAAAGGTCCTTCTTTATTGAAACTAAAAAAACACACGATATCACTCATAACCTGGCTGAGAGGATCATTCTTCACTTGAGCTGCAACTTTCACCTCCAGGAAAATAGCTTCTTTCGTGTTGAGGTTGCTCAGCGTGAGTTCTATCAGAGGACTTACAGTGCTAGACAACTCATTGTTAAATGACGAGGGAGGATTAAGAATAGCCCTTAAACCAACTTCTTGGACTTCTCCAGGTAATACATGACCCACAGGGATGTGAACATTGATATCAGAGTCAGGTAGATGAACTGAACCCCCTTCATGGTTCAGTTTACAAACTATATGAATGTCAGTAGCTTGCGTCTGTGCCCATCCAGGACTATGGCTCATGGCTTCTAAATCTAGGCAAGACCGAGTCAGCTGTCGGTGATTCAACCAAGCCATCTTGTAGGCTTCACGGTCATTTTGAAGACATGTAATGTCTGAAGGTATAGTTTTTTGAGGTATTGTCTTGCAAGGATTAAATCTTCGGTTATCAATAATATCCAAGAAGTCAGAAACACTCTTGGATCGTCCAGATCTTCTTGCTGAGGTCTTTCTTAGAAGACAGTCTATATCTAGCTCGTCACCTGAGGAAGCCAAAGAATCCCTATTGCTAGAAACTTTAGAGAACAAATAGGGTTTTTCTTTCAATACAGAAAGGTATTTATTATTTTCATTTCTATTGGAAGCAGCTATGTCATGTACAAAAGGGTTGGAGGCTGACAATTCATTCCAGAAAGGATTGGTCTTGGAAACAACATGGGCATGTTTTAAGAGGTCAGACCAGTCAATATCCAAATCCAATTTACTTTCATTGACATCTGTTTAAAAGAAAGAAACAGAAGTATTTCCTAAATCACAGAAACTTGACACATTTCATTCATTTCTAACCAATACTCTATTAAATTGATGACAGGAAACTAAATTTATCCCCCTAAAATACACACAGATCAAGTTGTTATAGAAAAGATTTATATATTTCTTCTTCAGGCCTTTAAAGAGCATCATTATTGATTTCTAAGCAACATTAAAAATTTTGTTAATAATAAATAAAGTGTGCAACTGAATTACTGTTGAAGGATGTAAAGCATCATCTGCAAGGTGCTGCTCATTACCAACTCCTAGAACTATTAATTGGCATCAAGTATACTAAGGTACCATAAGCTTTAAACCCTTACATTTCAGTAATCTTTGGCCTGTTACAAAATTTCATGTATTTCTTTCCTTCTTTTTTTTTTCTTTTTTTTTTTTTTTCTCTATGCAAAGATTAAACGACTACTGTTTCATTTTTTGAACACTGTAGACACTACAGATAAATGTGTTATTCAGGATTCCCTTTCATGGTAGTGCACATGCATTTAATTGATAACAGCACTATTACAATTCATTTCAGTCTTAATGGAATTTGTTACACTATCTTTCCTTTTAAAAATTCATTAGTATAATTTATGAACTGCACAATTTGAAATTGAGAGAAATGTTTTTGTGGCTATTAGTTTTTGACATTGCACTAAAATAAACAAATAAGGATACAAGTAATATTTAAATATGGCTTCTAATAAAAATACTCATCATTAACAACATCTATTTGTTGTGAATATAAGATGTCTCAAGTCTATATTAATAACAGTTCCCAGAAGCTGGTTTATAGGTTAAGACTCATACCTCCTGCAACAAACAGTGTTTGAAACCTTTTATGCTAAAGTTTTCTGTGACTAACAGTTTGCCATTATTATTCTATAGCATCCCTTCTTCCTACATCCTTACAAAGAATTTTAAAGTGAGTGGGGAAAGACAGCACTGCTATTCATTCAGCATACTTACATCTTTCACTATTACACTACCCAAAATAGCTTCCACCTTCTCCAAAGTTATTAATTACTGCTCAAATGTAGGAATGACAGTGCACTCAACCAAAAAAAAATAAAAAAATGCTGAAGCATTTGTACTTCTCATTTCCAATTTTTCATGAACTGTGACAAAAAAGCCCAAACAGTGATTATTTTTTCTACAGTTCCAGAAAAATCCTGAGTGAGAAGAACCAAAATGGAATTTATCTGGAAAGCTGTTGGTGGGATGAGTGAGCCTGGGGATAGCTCTTGACCTGGGCTTGGCCAGGAACACCAGACTGCTCAATGGCCAGCTGAAAAGGCTTTTAATTTCTGCCCAATGTCCAAAAGCTTTCCCTGCATTGTGTTGCTATTACAGTAGAATCCTTTATTAGAAAATAAATTAAATAATCCCCAAAATAACATTCTATAAATACATATGTATTAAAAAATAAAAATAAAATAAAAACACTCCAGCCTTCCCCTTTCTAAAGGGTATGTTTCCACAGAAAGTCTGAGCTGAAAACTCTGACAGAGCCCAAATCATTAGGCTGGATTCTTTTCTCATGCCAAGGTAACAGTACAGGTTACTGAGGTGCTATATGTTAGCAAGGAAGTAATTTCTACTCCCCAGATTGCACAGCAAGTGCCAGACTCACTCTTACATTTGCTACTGAACAAAAGCTAAGAGAAGTTCTATCTTGTGAAGGGGAATGTTCTCTTAAATTTTTGTCTAACAATGAGATTCAATGAGATTAAAGTCACCTTTGTTTTAACTCAGATTAACTCAGCTGACATTCAATACAATTTTCTACAGGCTAAAAGTCAAGTTTTTAACCAGTACTAACTCCAAAGTTATCTTGCCAGATTTCTGGTATTTTAAAGAAACCTTAAATGAAAGGAGCTTGGATAACAAACATACCCTAAATAAACCCTAAATAACAAACATATAAATAGAATTTATCCATGTAAGGTTAATGGTTCCAGCAATTACTCCCAACCTGCCTGACCCACATTTATTATAACAGGGGCTTGTCTTATGCTGTCAAGTTTCTCCTAGGCGGCTTTTTGACAACTGCACTCTGATTCCAGGGACATCCGTGATGGCCTGGGTAGTGCAAAATAAAAATAATACAAGCAAACAAAAAAAACCCTCTGTTTTGCAGGGGTTTACAGAACAGCGGTAACTCTTTACACTATCAGGAACTTTGCAGAAGTACAGACTTAGGTGGAAAGCCTTAGTAAAGAAAATAACAGAAGATACATACTGTAGGTGGCTGAAGGCGTCCGGTCATCCACATCAATCAAAGTCCCTTCTGACCTGCTCCGAGGAATCTCTGAGTTATGGAGGGAAGCTGCTCCACTACTGGAAGTGTTTTCCTCCTAGGAAACAGTTAAATGTATAAAACATTAGCAAATATGTAACTTGAAAAAGGAGAAACTGATGAATAGTTGAGCTTTGCTCCTGTGATGAGATAAATGAAAAAAAAAAAAATCCTAAGTGAAGTTATGGTGTAAGACTGAATTTATGAAGTCTGCCCAAGAGCATCATAATCCCAAGTGAGTCTTACTACTTACAGCAAAAATACCAGATGCAACAGCCATAGTACAATGCAGTATCCCAGACCCTGGCGAAGTCCAGTATGTCACACAACTAAATGTCTTGCAGTTGGAACTAAGACAGTTATACAATATCTTCCATTCTGAATGTCTTGAATAAAAACTTAATATATCAATAAAATCACAGAATGTTAGGGTTTGGAAAGGACCTTGAAAGATCATCTAGTCCAATCCCCCTGACAGAGCAGGAACACCTAAATTAGGTCACGCAGATCATCGGGTCAAATAAACATCCAAAGTTTCTAGCCAACCTTATCTGAAAAAGGGAATTAGAAGGGGAAGATCTAGGTCCATTCCTTCCTCTGTCAATTGATATAAAATATTTCTGACCTCTTCTTCTTTATTATTCTTCCTATGCTCTTCCCTGAGTGAACATCAGTTCAGATTTTCCTGTTAGTCTGTACACATTAGACTTAAAACACACTACCAAGGGGTGTATTCCAGCACAGCAACAACCTAATAGAGGATGCTCAGGTCTCTCCTCTTCTCTTCTGGTTACAAGAAGTTCTGTTTGATTTTGACATCATTTGCATATAGCCACATGAGAGCTGTAAACCAGGTGCTGTGGTTAAAACAAAAAAAAGAGTCAAGAGCAAACCCCTCACAAAGGCAGGGCATTAGGGACATTCCTCTAAGGTGACAGGGAAATGAACATTTACAGGTACTACTGCTTATTGCTGTTTTCAGCTGCCCAGGAAGATGAATTAGCAGGCCTTTGAAGGAGTGTTGGGTATCCTATGTGCCAAAGTTACTAGCATCCCAACAGCAGAAGCTGGAGGAAATACAGTCTTCTAGACCTCTTTGTACAGGAGAGCTCATTAAATCTGTGTTATAAGCCAAGATCACTTAATGACTTTCCCAGAAAGCTCTGACTATCCTTATACGTAGTATGGTAGTACGGGATGATTGCCAATAAACACATGAAGACATGGATTTAAAGCTTTTTTTTTTATTATTAAAAATAAAAATAAAAATGGGGGGAAGTCACAAAGTCACAATCTGTGGTGTATTCACAAGATAGAAAAGCTAGCTTTGTTCAGGAGTCTGAAGTATTGCTAACTGCCACTTCTTCAGCAGCAACTGCAGCCTAATTTAATTTTAATAATCAAGATCTGAGTAAACAAAAAAAAAAAAATAAAAATGTATTAGGCTTGATTTTTCTGTGGCAGCAAGAAAAAAGAATTTTCAGTTACAATTTTAGTAGGTGACTTATGGGAAAAAGGAAGCATGCATTATATCAAAGCATTACTGAATGAGAAACTGGAAGCTAGCTGACTGTCTCCATTGCATACAGGAGTGATAGTTGAAGACATGATTTTTTTCTGCACTACAGATGTAAATTGGTACTTTTTATTCTTACCACAAGGGCTACATTCAGCAAATGGCAATCTGTTCAGATGTGGATTTGTACTCAGGCATGATGCAAGGCTGACATCAGGCTAAGGCTGAAAGTTACCCAGCAGTTTTGCTGTTGTAGGGTAGTAAGGACTTTCAGGTTCCCCTGTTGCCAGAAACCTCAGCCTCTGGCCTTAGAAGATCTGATTTCAGATGGTAGTGAAAGCTAGCATCCAAGACTAATAGTTTGCAGCTTCTGTTATTAATGCTGTACCAACAGCCAAACTGGAACCGAAGATGCCTCCTTCATCCCAACCTACACTGTCATCCCAACATCTGACATCCCACACCTCTATAAAAATGTCACTGCTCCTTCCATCTGTGGTAAATAGCAGTATCTTTGATGATGTATATTCATTATTACAGAGAAATTGTTTTGCATTGCAGCTGCAACTCAAAGTTTGAAGAACTGAACATATATTAACATGCAAGATTTTCAGACTTCTACATCACGGAATAGGGTTATTTAATCACCAGTGTAAGGTAACCATAGTCTAAACTCCCAGTTAAGTGTATGAAAAGAAAGTCTACTTCTTACAGTATGAGTGTACGTGTTGCCAGCACTAATCCCTGACTGATTATTTATTGATCAACTGACATATTAATCTAAGAAAAATTCTTTAAATAGTTAATAAAAAGCACAAGTATTTCAGTAACTCTGAGACGTGGGAGGCAGTAAGTAAAGATGAGGAAAGAGCACACAACAGTGCAAGTAGCTGCAGAAAAGCTAAAATAGGAAACCCTAAGGGAAGGGGGAGGGAGAGAAAATGAAAAAGAAAAACAAATCTCTCACACAGTGGGAGTATATTGACAGAGACATGACAACAAAATTGCATATAGAAGTTTTATACAAGCTATGAATTTCAGCAAAAAGAATAAGCTATTTCCTAAAAGTTCCTTCTGGGAACTCCTTAAAACCTTTAGCACTAGCCTGGCACAAGGACAGAAGAGGGGGATACTGAAAAGGAAAACCACATTCAAAAATAACCACCACCACCCTCCTCCCCCTCAAGAAAGCATTCCTTGGTATTTGAGCATGATGAGGGAGACCCTTTGGTTTAGGCACATCTTCAGACCAGCCAGGAAGAGGAGGAGGGAAGGGGGACAACATAGATGTTTCTGTGCAAAAAGATGACCACGTTTTGTCAGAATGCCAAGGGATGTTGGAAATGCTGAGGACAAGCTGTACCCATGCTGTGGGGTACGGGGCAATGTGCCTCCTGAACACAGTTACACAATCTGACTGCAGGCTGGATCCTGTCTACTCCATGTTCCAGCCTTAGTGCTGGAAATGCTTAAATCCCCAATGCCTTTGTACAACACCTATACAATAAGAAAAATCTAATATTCCCCCTTTTTTCCATGGTTAAATTCTATGACAAATATATCACCCTATCTGAAACTTTTGATGGGGCAGCCCTGTTAATTAGGAATTTACCTGGGCAAATACAGAAGAATGATCACCCACAAGAGAGGAGAGATTAATGCATGTGGGATAGAAAGCCATGCTGAGCAAGAGTGAAGGGGAAAGGTATGAAACCCTTTTGCTGTGGAAAATAGGGAATTATGTACAGGAAGAAAGGGAAGCTAAGCTTTTAATTTGCTGTAGCTACTAAATAAGAAAGATGTAACCTGACAAGTACTTAATCGTACAGAGAATTTTTTGACTGATATTATGTAAGCTCACAGCATGAAACAAGCAGGAAACAAAGAAGTGAACAGATTGGAAAGAGATCAGCTATGGAGGTGACCAGTGAGTGAACCTGAGTGACTGCTGAGAGACATGGCATTTTTCTGTATGAGGGCAAGAAATAGCTTGCTAGGTGCAATCTGCTGTTAAAGCTTGGAGTGCATTGCGTGACCCATAGGAGCAGGGAAAGCAGGACCCACAGTACTTCTGGCAAAAAGCTGCAACATGGTCACGGAGGAAGAAAAAAAACATATTAGGGGGAGAAGATAGTTGCAAGTAGAACAGTTAAATTTTCAGAAAAAAAACAGGAGACAGATTTGCTGCAAACTGCATTATTGCAGCATGCAATGCCTCTGGAAATGTCTTCCAGGTCTTTTAAAACTTGAGTGCACTACCCCCCTTCTCGTCCTACTCCCAGAGTCTGTGCGAATGAAAACATGTCCTGCTGTGCTTTAAATAGTGCTAAGGAAGAAAACAAAAAAGCCTAAAAGCAAACACTTCCCCACTGCCTCTGTCCTCAAAACCAAATACATTCCTTTGTGTTTTTAAAGGATCAACATCCCAGAGCAAGACACTAGGGATATGCCTTTCATTCAACCTTAGCCCTGTTTGCCCCTCTTTGAGAGCAGGCTGTATTAACAGCAGAGCTCTGCCTTGGCAGTGTCACCCTGTGGACTTACACACAAACTGATACCCAGCCATGTGATTATTCACAATGATTCATGGCCTTTGTATCCAGAGGATGAAGCTTTGGCATTTGCAGAGACAGGACAAGCAACACAAGCAGGTGATAGAGATGTGCTTCATTCCTCAGGCTCACTCAGCTGTCATGTGGAAAGATGACTTGCTAGGTGTACGGGTTGAGTTATTAAACATACAAGTTTCCTTCCGAAAAGGAAGCAAGGTTTATTCATCAAAAGATTAAATACAGTGTTCCTGACCTGACCAAATACTGAGTATACTGAATTATTTAAATTCCATTAGATGCAGGGAAGCAAAGGATTTATAAAGAGAAAGCAATTACAAAGAAGAGAGATGGTTTCAAAAGGGCCTACACATCATCAAGTCTAAAACTGCCTGTTCTCAGCAAATTAACATGTTCCTAACTAAACATCAGTTACAGTAATGGGACATTTTTATAACAGACCCTTGTTTTTCATGATCTGAAAGAGCTTTATGCAGCTCAGAGATTGGAGACAGGATGTTAGATACGAGTTTACCAATCTCTGGTAACAGAGCTCGACTGTGATACGATAGTGGCCAATGGTAGTACAGAACAGCATGCAAAGCTTTCAGTTGAAGTGATAAAGTCTTTGACTCTGTTAACTTGCTGCATGTGAAACAGTTAAGGATTGCATCCATATCTCTTTTGAACTGAGACAGAAGTGGTTTTTAATGTTCCAGCTAAAGAGCTCTCAGTCCTGTGTTACCTATCCTACTGATACTTAACAGCAACGTCTGTGCTTTAGTGCAATCCCCTTACTTGTCACTTTGTCTATAATGATAGTGAGGTGATTTTAATTGATATATGTACTAATTTATTACAGTTTTAAATAGTTGACTATTTGGTATCTACTTTTTCAAAGTTCTGGAAACGTATCACTTTGTGGGTACTGTAGATCTGCTCACCTTCCTTTCTGAACTCAGGGTTTAAGGTTTCTATAGACCAAAACATCTC